TTCATTATTGAGGGTACGATTGTATCAGTAAAATTCGTTCAACTTAGTTATTAAAGGTTTTGGATGGCTAAATATTTTCCCCCTTGAATCCTAGCTCTCCACTATCTGCAACAAGAAATGTGAACTCTTGCACTTTAAATCGGAATCATAAATTGAATTTTTACTTTTTAACTATCGAAAGTCGAAGATGTCTAAAAGTAAAAGTCTTTTTCACACCTTAAAGGATATTCCACCTGATATATTATTGTAATATTGAGTCAAAGTTTGTCGAAGGTATATAGCATTAATATTAGCTATCTCTGTTTATGTGTAAGTTTTGGTTCGACATGTTTCCAAGGAAAGGAATTCTTAGCATTTGTTAATATCACCATGAGAGCAAATCTTTTCTTTCTGGTGACTTTTATTAATGTTATCGCGATAAGAAAAAAACTAAAAATTAGCAAGCACTGGATGCTTTTTTCAACTCATTTTCATTGCATAAGCAAACCAGTATTCGGTATTACTTACTCTTTTTTTATCGCGATAACGTCAATAAAGTCATGACAAAAAGGAGACCTTCATATGAAGACATCAACAAACGTGGCCAACCCATGTGAATATTTTCTGCTGAGGAATTGAAAAAATCGAGGTTGTAGATATACCTGTGGGTATGGGCTGTGGAAGAAGAAAACATCTATACTCCTTAATTTTCCTTTTACATTCTGGTTGGGAGTTTAAGATCGTTCAACAGAGTTTTCCGTTGATCTTCGTCCTTTGCGGCGAGAATCACATCAGTATATGGAAGTTTCAACCGTTCATTATATGGAAACTAGGGTGTGGGTGGGTCGGTGCATGTCGATGTCGGTGAAGCAAGAATCCACACTTCATACCACACACTCAGTAAAAGACAACTTGGGAATCTTGTTTTAGCAGAGAGGAGCATAAGAATATTATACACAGTTGAACGGGTGGTCCGTCGAGTGTTAAATCAGCTGCTACGGTGCTCAAAGTCACGGCGCAGCAGAAAAAGAAGCCTGTACCCATAGACATTGTACACGACAAACTCGTCTGCCGTGGGCACTGCCGGGTGCCGACAGCCCAATCACAATTCGCTGTTCCTCCGACGAGCGGGGCTCCATAAAACTAGAAGTTCACCTCTACGCGTTTGGCTACTGAACAATTCGACACAAGTTGTTAACGGCGGACGGCTTTTTAAACTGGATGATTGTTCTTGCATCTTCCCACCGTTATAGTTACAATCTCCGTTATAGTTACAATCTTCTGATTAGACAAAACTTACAGACTTTGTAGAATTTCTTTTTGTGCTGATCATTTAGTGATAAAATAGTGTGACTTTCATAGTTAATTCTATAACTTCTGATTTATAAATTTGATGGTTCTCGCATTGTCTGTTCTATTGTAGCTAAATTGGAACTTAAGGTGATTGATGAGTTTTGCACCAGCTTTTTTTAGATGTGTCGCCACTGATTCATTCTAGTGTTTGGATGAGGCTGTATAGATGGATACTACCATGATGCGTTTGACATCAGCAGTCGAGATGTTGTCGGAAGGCTGTTTTCGTGTTTGTTCATAGTTTCTGACCGTAGCTAAGTGGTTGATAAGGACGGGGGACGGTTTCTACGTAAAACGGCCCTAAATAAAAATCATTTCAGAACACTTTCTAGACTTAAATTTCAACTTTCTCTACATAAGACTGAAGCGTGCGGAAGTTTTTCCGACCATCCTTTGAGACCTCTGCTCGACATTTCTAAGTAGGATATTCGTAGTATGCTTTTCACCATCCCGCTCAAACGTTCACCGGGGCTGTTCACCATACGAAACTCATACTGTCAGGAATGGTAGAGCTTTTCGAGAGCTACAAAATGACTGTAAAATGTGAGGGAAAATTTGCTGCCCTTGGAAAATTCGAAAGACCACGCTGCCCTGGTTCTATGGGAAAGCGAATAGATTTGATAGTATTGGTCATACTATGCTAACTATCGCTTGAGAAACCATCGCCATTTTTTTGTGCAGATAGAGCTTTCCAAGAGCTACAAAATGACTACAAAATATAAAGGAAAATTTGCTGTGCTCGGAAATTTCAAATGACCACACTGTGCGGATTCTCCCGGAAAGCAAATGAATGCGATAGTGTCGTTCATAGGATCGTGACGATAGCTAGTGATATCATGATCATTTTTTCTATGCAGATAGATCTTTTTGATACCGACAGAATGACGACACACTATAAAGAAAAATTTGCTGTTCTCGCAAAGTTCGAACGACCACACAATCGGAAGCCGGTAGCACAGCCGATGTAGCTGATAGTATGGTTCATGTGATCTTCAGTCTCACTCGTCACATGATCGTCACTTTTTCTACGCAGATTGAGCTTTTCCAGAGCGACACAACGATCATAAACAGAGTAGCAAAGCCTTGCCTTCTAAAATATCGAACAAGTACACCATCCAAATCTCCTGACAAAAACAAATGAACGCCATAGTATCCCATTATGCGGAAACTTCGCGTAACTCGTATACTGTGAAATCTTAGGTTAACAAGTACTGCTTTATTCAAAGTAATAACAGTGGTGAAGGATCGCACGTTGCAAACGAACTACGTGTAGCTGATATCGAAGGCCATTACGTCGATAAAATTCAGCAGCTGCTAACCTAAGATTTCATACCGTACAAGTTGCAGAAACTTTCCGGACAATGTAACAAACCGAAGAGATTTGGAAGCTGTAATGGAAAACTCGCGACTAGTGTGTGAGTGAGAAAGAGGACAGCGCCATCCAGTGTCGTTGTGGGAAAGGTGTCCGGTAGAGTGTAAGTGTAGGTGTAGGTGTGAGTGTACATATAGTGTATTTATGACTCGGACCTGATGGATGCTGCTATCTTGCTAGATGTTGTCGTGATCTAAGTGCATTGTGACACCTACACAAATACTCACATCCATCTTCACGACAACACACTCATACTCCACAACCGAAAACCGAGAGTACACTGGCCATCTCTACCAACGCATATGTACACTCAGAAAATTTACCTTTATATTTTGTGGTAATTTCCTACTCTCAAAAATAGCTATCTCCACACAAAACCATGGTCATCATATCTTGGCGATAGTGAAGCTCGTATGAATCATACTACCAAATCTATTGGCTTTCCCAAAGAATTCGGACAGTGTGGCCCTTTGAAATTTCGGGGCACAGCAAATCTTTCTTTATATTTCGTAGTCATTTCGTGACTCTCCAAATGCTCTGTTTGCATCGAAAAATTGGTCATGCTATCAAGAGCGATAGTCCAGATCGTATCAACCGCACTATCCCATCCACCAGCTTTCCCATCGGATCCAGATAGTGTGGTCTTTGCAAAAACCTCCAGAACAGCAACTTTTCCTTTACACTTTGTAGTCATTTTGTAGCTATCGAAAAGTTCTATCTCCCCTGACAGTATCAGTTTCATATGGTGAACAGCCTCGGTGAACCTTTGAACGGGATGGTGAAACGCATACTACGAATATCCTAGTTAGAAATGTCGAGTAGAGGTCTCAAAGGATGATCGGAAAGAGTTCCACACGCTTCAGTCTTATGTAGAGAAAGTTGAAATTTAATTCTAGAAAGTGTTCTGAAATGATTTTTATTAAGGGCCGTTTTACGTAGAAACTGTCCCCCATCCTTTATTTATTTATTTAGTTATAATTTGCTCGGTCTTTGCTCATTTTCTTTATGCCATTGTAATTCGCCTTTTACATCTAAATTCACAGCCACACCTACGTCCATCCTCGGTACTATTCTGCAAAACTATTACCTTTGATCGAAATACAAAACTTTTGCTATTTTTGTGAGATGCGAGTAGAACATTATGCAGCGTGTTTTTAATTATTTAGTCTTTCTATAGTAGTTCACTATAGATTTTTCTTCAAAGAAAAGGTGTAAAAAAAAATTCTATATATATATTTTTGTAAAACTCGATAAGCTCTATCTAACCATATGAAAATTCAAAGAAAAAGCATTATCAAATCTTGAATTACTCGCATCTCACAAAAATAGCAACATTTTTTGTATTTCGATCATAGGTCATAGTTTTGCAGTATAGTATCGAAAATTGCTCGCATGAATAAAAGCTCGGTATATTCGTTTATAATTTAAAAAAAAATTGTTGATAATATTAAATGAAACAGCAAAGATGTATGAAAAAACTTTTAGTAAATGATTTTCTAGACACCTTGTACATGAGCAATTCAGCAAGATTTTTGCACTATATATGTAAGTTGATGCTCCCTATATCTCAAGAAAAACTTCTATAGTTGAGAACAGGGTGTAGGTTTGGGGGTATTTCCTCTACTTTTATCGAAAGCAACACCCACACATACACCCTTTTCCCGTAAAACAAATACCCGTCAGTTGTTAAACCGTATGGTTGCCAATATGAAAGCCTTGAACATAAAATACTTTTTTCTATGTGAGATAAATGTTATCCAAGATTTGGGCTTTCGATTATTTCACAGAGGCTTTTATCATATTTTTATCTTAGCAATTTAGAGAGATTCATTTAAGCTCATTATACATCTTCTGTAGCTGCTAATGAAAAATGGCCAGCCTGCTCTGTCCTGACAGACGCCTGCAGATCAGGCCAGGTTTAAAAAAAGTACTCTGTCGCCATCTCTGATATGAATGATTCAATTTGAAATTTTCTCAAGTTCATTTTCCAAATCTCGTTCGAAATAAGCGTTTAGTTCATGTTTTTCGAGTGCAATAGAGACTTCCTTTATTGAACAACAAAGATGATAAAAAATAACTTTAAAATACGTTGCAGAAGCTCCTGTAGAAGTTGGGAGATATATTGACATGACTTTTCTCTTGAAAAACAACCCAACGAGTCGAAATAGCGTTTCACGTCACATCTCATAAAATCAACTTGGAGAGGGTGGCTGGTGTGGGTGTGGCGGGTTCTGGGTGTGAGTCTTTTTCTACCTGCTCTCTATATTCACACCCACACACTGTTTTGAAAGAGAATTCAGCTATGTTCACATGATTGATTCGTTTTGTTAAGTGATTCAACCATAATCTGAATTGCATCATCGAGTGTTGTACCGCGTTTTCGTTCTTCGCTTATCTCATTTCCAAGCGGAGTTTGTTCGGCTACAAATCGATAAGTATCTGCAGCGCCATCGAATATCTTCGGTGATAAACCAATATTCTCGTAGGTCTTGGCGATTTCACCCATTTCGGCTACCCATCGTGCTGCTCTTGGTGGCATGCCTGGAATGATTGTGTTAATATCGTTGAATAGATACGGCCGACCTTGTTTCAGGTGATCGAAAAAGATTTCACCTACATCGAGAGATCGAGCGGCAATACAAGCCTGAATAGCAATAGCTGTCATGCCTTTGATCATTGATGCTTCACATATTTTGAGACTACTTGCGTGACCGACGTTTCGGCCGGCTGCACGCGTATTAACAAAAGCTGTGCTCTGAAATAGATCGACCAGCCTTTGTGCATGTCTACCGGAGAAATAAATCGATGGAACATATTCGCCTAGACGTGGTGGTGGACCAACGATGCATCCATCGACGAAATTTCCGTGTGGAAAGAGTGTCGCTATTGATTCGATCGTTTGTGGAGCGATAGCATTCAAATCAACGTATAGTTTACGTTCGTCATTGGCAAGATACGCAGCGAAACGTTGAGCAAGTGGCTTAACGTTCGATGGAGCTACGATCGAAAGAATGATATCTGCTTGATGAACCAGTTCGTTATCGGTTTGAACATCGATTATGTTCGCCAAGTGAGACAATTTTTGAGTACGTTCACTACGTCCTGTCAAATTGGTGATCACCCGAAATCGTTGCTGCTTATCGGCAAGTAGAACTCGACCGATTGCGTGACCCTAAAAATAAGGAGACAGTGAGAATAATTCGATAGATTTTTCACATTTTACCATATCACCAGGACTCATAATAGCAATCGTCATTGTCGATGTTTGTTGTTCTTCCATCATGTGCCGTTGTGACTACCTATTCGTATTTTTTGCGTGTTCTTATACCACTCTGCTCGTGTAAGCTGATATGTGTCGAATATTTGCGTTTGTGTTTTTTTTGTTTCTGTCATTTATGAAAGTTGGATGTAGAGGCGATAAGCATCAATCCATGCTGAGGTGTCTCGATTTGCTTCGCATTTCGCAACAAGAACGAAAGACATTTCAACGAAAGCATTATTTTGCCACGTTCTCAGCATGGACGCATCATAATATGAAAAATTCATCACATAAAAATGCTGATTTATTACTAAACAAACAGGCATTCCCAAAAGTAATGTCTACTATCGTTGCTGCTTACGAATGAACCAATGTCATCGACTACATGTTAGCGAAGATTCTGCAAAAACAAATCGATTATAGGAGTTTTAGCAGTAAAACGCGATTTTGACATCAATTCCGAAAAAATCATCAATGATTTTGCTAATTCGCATAGAAATAATAGAATTTGATTAAAGTAATCCTGTGGTGGATTAATATATTTTTTCAATAAATAAATGAAACATCATTTAGAAAAGCTGCTTTTAAAGACCAATACATGACAATATTCTATCTCTATGAGAAAGAAACATTGTACTTAGCCTTAGATGCCCTTTGCAAAAACTGTTAGTGCTGAACCCAACCACCTGACTTTTTCTGGTTATGCTACTATCTATCATCTTTCGTTTTAGTCTGGTTATATAACAATGCGATTTTCTTTCTATCTGATATGCCATATACATTCCACTATTGACGAATAATGTGACAAGCATTATACAATGACTTAATTCTTTATTTTTTTTGTGTCCATTATAATATATATATAGACATTGAACTGAAAGAAATATTATCTTCTCATATCAATTAAATACTTTCATTCAAAAATACAACTAACTCTTGCCTTTTACAATTGCCGTAAATAATGAAATATCGTTGGAATATCGTCATGGTTACCACTTCAAGTATGCTCATAACATGTAGCATTAATTGAATTTTTCAATAAACCAGAGCAAAGAATTCAATTATACAAGAAATGAATGATCATATCCATCTGTTATGACGCTAACTAAAACTTGTTCTTTCCAAAATGGTTTTAGTAAGTATTTTTTAAATATAAATATTCCCTATAATCAATTGTATCATATAGATTGCAATATGTGTAAACATTTAGTGAAGACTACTGACAATAGTGGTTATAAAGTATATATGCTCATGTTTGCTGAAATTTTAATGTTTGTATTACTGTTATGCTATGTCTACTGTATGTTTAATTATATCCTCGTGATAATCTTCACATTCTTCATTGTCTGACTTTTGGCTCGTTACTGTGATAGTGAAAATTGTTGCTATCCATTAGATATACTCACTGTCTATTTCATTGTTTGGCAATTTATGTATCTTACATGTCAATGTGATTGTTATAAGTTTTCATGGTCCCTTTTCATTTTTCTACAAGAATCATACCGTTTATCCATCTCTATCAAAGCATATTTTATATACGATATAACTTTTCATAATGTATCATTTCAATACAAACTAGTTTTTCTACGGCTATTTTCGGTATATGATATGTAAGTGAAATAAAAAAAACAATTTTACTGTATCCTACATATATATAAACTGCTCTGTCCAAATAAGATCATGATATAACCTTTGAAAATTAGATTAAATGAAAAATATTTTAACGAATGTTTTTCAAATTATGCTTATCTTATTGTAGTGTTACATGTCTTCATTATAATGAACGTATTTATATTATATAGCCGAATGCAGTGACATAACATACTTACTTTCCGTATGACATCGAAGACAACAAGAAAGATGATAAGCATTCTAAAGGATCTCTGGGTATTGGTGATTTCATATATTTCAATTTTATGCTCCTGCTTATTATATGTCCAGCTTGATCAATTACAACAAAACTAATCGTGACATTGATATGTATAGCCTCTATAGAAGTCGGTTATTATGGTACAGGATTTATTGGACATTTGTGGCATGTACGCGTTATGCCTGGTTTACCATTTTCTGCTATTTTTTTTAATCCGTGTATGCCATAATTATTGATTTTATCATGAACCATAGAACTATGGATTGTAGCGATATATGAATATTTCTACAAAAACACTTATTTTTCAATAAATATCATATCAATGACATTAATTTATGATTGGTTTTTCTTTCTTTCAATAGTAATTCTGAATGTAGTAGAATAAAAAATCTATTATATATTCTATCTTTGTTGTTAATTTATTTTATTCATTTAATCCAAATCAAAATATTTTCTACTATTTATTATACGTAAAATCTAAAAAAAGAACTTACAAAATTGATTCTCATGTTTTTTTGTTCTTGTAAGCCATTCTTTTCTTTTCGCTGATATTTTTCAGTAAGAATAAAAGTTGATTATATTCTTTTTTTTGTTGACATTGATTGACCACATATAATATCTTTAATAGTATTCTTATTGAAAATCTTATCAAAGTATTAGAAAAAATGACAGTTGTTATTTGAAAAGCGTTTTGAAGTATAATATCATTTGATATGTATTTTTTTTTGGTGATAAAACTCGAACTAATCAATTATATTCTACTATTTTTTTCCATTAACAGTAAACTTGTTATGTATTAATGCGAGATCAGTTTAGCGCTTATTCAGTTTTTTATTTTTAGAAATAGAATTTCTTCAATAGTTGATGAATTTTTTTCTCACAAGAAAATTGATTGAGTTGCTATCGTTCATTTGAGCTGATATTTTGTTCATAGACAGGACTCAGAGTGCATATAAAACTCTAAAAAAGTCCGTGCCGTTAGGCCTTTCTTCTCGGGTTATAAGTTTTTTACTGAATTTTCAGCATTTTGGATGATTTATGAAAAACCCTCAACAAGGAATTTTACCTGGAATGTTCCCAACAAATGATCTCATGCTTGTAATGATCTCCTGAAAGTTTCAGCTTAAACACATGTTTCTCTTCCGGGGTAACACATTTGCAAAAAAAATATAACTTTCTCATAAAAACTTCCAAAGTAGTCTATTTTTTTCCACATTCGATTGTTTTCTTTATCAGGAATATCGTGTGAGTTCGATGCATCCAATGCCAGCGCAATTTGAATTGTTCAGTTTGGTAGATACTTATACCTGCAGAGCCAGAAATACCAGCTACACTTACTGTTATCGAGTTCCAACAAAATTGGAACCTACTGGCTGCAACGAAAACTAAATAATGTTTTTCTGTTAAATTGAAATATTGTAGTAATATTTTTACGAAAATCATCTGAAGTTTTTTTTAATCAGCAAAGTCATCAGGGCAATGCTTTTTATAAAAACAACAATCCTAGTTCCTCAACTTTTTTCATATGAATTTTTGTCAATGGTTCTTGCAACAAAAAAGGACTCTTGTATATCTTGATAGACATTATACGCAGCAATTGTACAACCATTGATACTAATATCGCTCTTGCATTTATTACTCTTATCGTCGATATTGTGACTGCAAATGAACAATGTTGATATATGATCTTTTTCAAAATCATTTAACAGAAAATAGTGACGTGTATAGGGGTGCACCAATTCCAATTCTTGACTTGGAATTGGTTGGAATTGAAATTAGAATTGGTTTGGAATTGAAATTGGTCGGAATCGGAATTGGTCAGAATTGGTTTTTTGTAAAACAATGATTTTACACATATTTCGACAAATTATCAGTCGATTATTCATTTTTCTCAGACCAATTCCACTTGCAATTCCGACCAATTCTAATTCCAACCAATTCTAAGAATTGAAATTGATGCATCCCTAGACACGTACAACCAGGAGTACAACAGGTGATGATCATTCATCGATGTACCGTCACCGTTACATTTCTATCAGAAATATTGCCTTAGAATTCATATTACATGAAAAAGAAAAATATTCATTGCAATTTATACTGTCAGTCATTTGAAGATCGTTTATTGAAATATATATAAAAAAACAATAGAAAAGAAAACTCGATTCGTAAATCAATATGAATTAGATAAGGAAATTGAGTAAGTCTGATTTTAATTCATAAAACAGATACATATCAACATTTCAATATGATATTATCTTACTTAAAACTCATTCTTGGAAAAGAAAAAAAAATTATTGTCTTAAAGATAACTCGATATGCTCTATAGTCTAAATTGATTCAAAACGATTTCGGAAAATTGTTTGTTAGTTTGAAAAAAACATCATAAGAAGATTTTTCATTAATATATTCAGAATCAGTATGGTCGATAACTTACAATCCACCAGCATAGATCTTCATCTGTAAAATTTATTACTTTTATTCAGGCTTTGAATATTATCTAAATAATTATTGTTATGATTATTTTCTATATTTCAGTATAGCTTTAAAAAAAACGTAAAATTTTCTTTCTTTCTTTTCTTTTTGTTTTAATGACAATAGAAAACATTTAATTTAAACAGAATCATTCAGACAAAAGTGATATGTTGTGCATAAACATGATGATAAGTTGATGGATTATTATCTTTCACATCGTGTTCGTCAATATTATATCGAACATGACCTAATTTTTTCCATGGATTTTCATTTGAAAGAACTAAATTCGATGAAGAATCTTTAATCGATGTTTGTTGAGCATAATTAATACTTGATCTTTGTTGGAATGGTGAAAGAAGATCCATAGTTTCATCATTATCTTTTAAAGAAGAAAATAATAATTGTTCTTGATGTTGTCGTTCATTATGTTTACATGTATTACTATAAATACTATCTGTTTGTGTTATTTCATCATTGATATTTAAAGAACAACTATCTAATTTTGAATTACAAAATGTTACTTCTGTTGTACAATCTATTGGTGTTGATCGTCGTTGACCATTATTAATAGCTCGTGCTGCATATGGACCAAGATGATGATTTGCAGTTGAATGTCGAAATGATATACGTCTGGTTGATAGTGTTGTTTTAAATTTTGATGGAATATTTTTGGACGGATTAAAAAGAACAATTTGTAATTTAGGTGCAAATAAACATAGAAGTATAACAGTTGCTGATAAACTTAAACAAATAGCAAGAGTAACAAATTGAATCTAAACAAAAAAGAAAATAAAAATGAAGAAAGTTTTGGTGTTTGTTTTTTCATCTTTTAAACTTACACGAAACCAATTGTCACTACTTCGTAGACCAAAAAAAATTGGTACAAAAGCTAACCATATAATACATATTGAATACATGGCAAAGCCAATATGTTTAGCTTCATTATAATTTTCTGGTATATGTCGTGTTTTAATTGCATAAAGTGTACAGGATATAACAAGTAACATATTATAAATTAATGAATAAGCTATATACTCATGATCTGTTTGACATATTAATATTAAACGTCGTTGATTATGTTTTAATTCTGATTTTAATTTAACTGATGGTGGTGACATAATTATCCATAAAAGAACTCCTATTAATTGTACACTAACAATACCAGTACATATACCTAATTGTGAACGTGGTGAAAGACATGATTGTGGTGTTAAACGTTGTTTATTATTAAATATACGTGCTAAACGATTTGTTTTAGTTAATAAAGCAGCAAGACATATTGTTAAACTTAAACTAACGCCAATACGTATAAAAAGACATGTTAATGTATGTGGCTTAAGAATAAGTGGCCATGCACATAAATGACAAGAGCATATACCAGATAAAAGAAAATAACTTAATTCACGTGATGATGCTTTTATAACTGGTGTTTGTGAAAAACGTATAAATACAACAATTGTTGATATTGTCATTAAAAGACCAATTGATGAAAGTATTAATGCTGGTAATGCAATAATATTTTCTATAGATAAATATTCTTCTTCAATAGGTAGGCATTGAGAAAAATTAGAATTTGGTAATTCTTTTTTTGTACATGGAACACAATATGTTTCATTAACAGCTATATGAAATATATCACATGCACGACATGTCCAACAACATTGTTGAGAATCTGTATTTGTACGTATTTCACCTGGACGACAAGGTTCACTACAAAATGATCGTGGTGTTATTTGTGTTTCAGACCATGTCGAATATTGATAATTATATTTAAACCATTTTAATTTTTGAAAATCAATACGAATTCTATTGAAATATAAAATTATTATATTATTAACATTTGAATAAACAAGAAAAACGGCTGATGTATTGTAAAAGATATAAAACATTTTACTTTCTATCAAGGCTCTCCCAACAAAGCCAAAAAAAAACCAGAAAAATCCTTTTCTAGTGGAATTACATCACTGTTCGTTTCCTAAAGTATCTACTCTTCAATTTAACAACCATATCATTTTGTTCAAAATTGAATTCTATACTTGGCAATATGAACTACAGCAGCAAAAATGTTGAGAAGGTCGTAAAAGTAGAGAAGGTCAAATACTTTACTTTTAGCATTGCTCCTAATCAGCAAAAGTTTACTAATACCTATTTGAAAAAATAGACCGGATAGAAATTTTTTGAAGGATAAAAGATAGAGAGCTGCAATTTTCACCTTTACAAAGAGAAGATGAAGACACATCGAATCAGTTGTTTTAAGTTTTTTCGATTTGATAAAGTTTTCAATCAACCTTCTTGAAAATCGATGTAGTCTGTAATATGATTATAATGAATTTTCAATTATCATTTTCTCTTTGTAATGGTGAAAATCGCAACATTCTATCTCGTCCTTATTAAATGTTATTTGAAGAACAAAGGCAGTAGTTTTGTAGGATAGAAAATTCTCTATCAAATCTCTATTGCGCTATCTGTTAGAAAACTTAATTTTTTTTATGTACGGTAAGATTTTTGTTCTTTTTTTGGAGAAATTTACATTCGAAGAAAATTTTTCTTTCTTAAATCGTTTCTTTCTTGAATGCACTGATATATGTTCGCACTCATTTGTCCTTTGAACATTTTCTAATTCATTGGAGCAAAATTTATATGATTTATTTATATGAAAATGAGCACAAATTTAGCTCTATATCAAACTCTATGACATATCAATATGTCTACTCAATTATGTTAACGGTGTTTGATTTTCAATCTGTATAATTCCATAGAACTAAAATTTCCTTAATTTACATTTTGAAAATTTAATTACAAACAGTGATTACCGGATTATACACTTCAATGAGTGTTGATTAGTTTTGTAACTTGGTACATCATTCATATATTTATTAATATATAAAAAAAAGTTTTTATAAAAGCAGATTATAATTGGATTCTAAGATAGACACGCAATGTTACTGTGCATTTCTAAATAGAAGGCAAGCTATGACGACTTGCGAAATGGTATTCCTAAGATTATAGTAAAGTTCGAGGCATATAAGCTTTTATCGATTGGATTTATAGAGGACTTTCAGAGATGTAAGTTTTAAAGCGTTTATTCATTAGAGAAAATTATTCTCTTTTGAACTATGGAAATTCGAAATTTCTAGTTTGTACTGTTCAAGAGTTATAAGAATTTTCCAGACTCTCTCTAGAACAGTTATTTTGCATAATCCAGTGTCTCTGAAAAGCGTTAATAATTCTTGAGCAGTAAAAACTAGAAATCTCGCATTTGAATAGTTCAAAAGATGAAAATTTTCTCTATCGAATACATGTTTTAAAAGTCAAAACTCAATACTGAATCTCTGAAAATCACATTCGTTTTCTCTACACCCACTCGAAAATCTCCCATAAATCCGATCGAAAAAAAACGTATATACTCGGGCTTGATTACAACCTTACGAACACTGTTTCACAAGTCACTCAAGTTATCGTGACTTGTCCATCTCTTTTGAAATGCTGAGTAATAAGCACGAAAATAGCAATCATATTGTCATTAGTTAAAACTTTTCGAGTTTTAAAATTATATGAAATGTTAGACAGCATATCAAAAGAATATTTCAATACAAAATCTCAATATGATATCATAAATAAATAATGAAAAAAAAGAATGAAGTATTAATGAAAGGAAAAGTAAGTAAGACATCATTCAATAAAATACAATTAGATGGAATTAACTAGTAATTTGCACGGCAAATTTAAAATGTCACAGTATTCTCTTCAACTTTAACTTAGTAAAAACGTTAATATGGCACATATTTTGTTTCTCTTGTAGTTAATTACTAACTTATTGTTATAAACGAATAAGATTCAAAAAAATAAATAAATCATTTGAAATTTAAAAGAAAAACCGGTTTAACTATAATGTTGATCTAAACAATCATTTTTTATCAACTATAGTCTTGTATTTTACATTTTTTGTGTTTTGTTAAGTACATTATTGCATATTTGACTCATAAGAAACTCTGCAGTATATAAAAGTCTAATGTCATATTATCAATAAAGTTGAAATATAATATTTACAAGGGAACCACCTCAGCTGACACCTGCTATTTGAATCCATATTGGACTCACAGACAGTTCTCGGTGAGTCTAACAAGTTCTATGAGGACGAATCCCTTTTAGACTTTTGTTAGTCTTACAAAGATCTACTTCTCTTGACTTAACATGAATTAAAAAAAACTGACATCAGTTAAAGTAGTTCCCTTGTGTTAGTAAAAAATATATATTTTAGGAAATCCATGTTAAATATTCGTTAGAAATTGTTCAATTCATTATTTCTAATATAATATATCTACTTTCTATCAAATAGAAAAAGCATTTTCTAACCTTTCATTACTAAGATCACTGTCACTATATTCTCCTATTGTAAAATAATCAAGTGTTTCGATTGAATTAATAATTTGATATTGGAATATTTCATATGTTTCAATTCCATCACCACTAGATGTAAATTTAATATTTCGTTTTGATAAATCTAAAAAAACATTACACAATATGAAATATATCGAATTAAACATATATATACTTATTTACCATTACGAAATGAAAGATTACGTAATATTGAAAGTAATGTTTTACCATCAAATGGATAAAATTCTTTACATAACAGTTTAGTTTCTGAAGAATTTAAACATTTTTCATCAACTAATTTTTGTATTGCAATAACAAGACTAAATACAGCATCAACTACATAATGAACATAGCCTTCTTGAAAATAAGGTACAGAAAAATTGGTATATGTACTATCAGTATCTAAGAAAAGAAAGTTTCATTTTAGTAAATATTGAATGATGATACGACAAAACTATGTATTATAAAGAAACAACTTTTATTGAAATGTATCATGTTAATACACAATAGCGAAATGAATGTATGTATTATCAATGATCACCTTTTTGATTCTTACTGCAGAGATGCTTGAATAAATGCGTTTATTAGTCATATAATTGATGTTTGGAAATACATCTCTAGTATCTTAAAGATCGAAAATATCTTCTCTACTATCGATCGTGATCGATATGTTTAATTTTTTCAAAAGAAGATTCAATATTTATTAACAAATCCAATATTAGAAATTTACTCAAATAAATGTATTGACGAAGAAACATTCTCAGATATCCGTTCGATTCTGAATTTGCAATAAGATCATATTTTCAAATTTCGTCATGAAACTTTGCCCACATAAAGACAACAATCAAACCAGTTTGCATAAAAATTCAGACTAAGTCTTTCAGATGTAAGAAACTTTTGAACAATAAATACTCTATATACTATCTATTGAAAAGTGCCTATAACTTAAAAGTTGAATATCACGGAGATACTTGGTCCGAATTTTTATGCCAGCTAGTCTAATTAACATCTTTAGGTAGGCAAACTTTCAGATCGAAATTCGAAATAAGATACTGTTGTAAATGTGGTGTTCTACAGACGAATTTTACTAAAAACTGTCGACCTTCTCAGAAGCAAAGGAGAGATACAAATTCTTTTTATGATAGATATAGTTCACTAAGCTCCCGCTCAAAACCGAACAGACATCTAGAAATATTTTCTGATGAATCAATCGTCAGAAGGATACTTTTATTGGTGCATAGCTATTAAAGATCAGATCAGTTCATTGTTGAGTGTTGTCTGCTGAGAAAAATAGTTCGAAAGGAAAAAGCAATCCTCCTTCTAAATCCATCACAGATACAAAAAAAAAGAGCAATAGTACTCATTTGTAAAAGTCTAACCTGAACATGAACGTGTATAATTTTGATTAAATATTGTTGTTGGTGTATGAGCAAATTTACATTTATATGTTTCTTCCCAATATTCAACAAACCAAGGATTACGAGTATTTTTAGATGGTATCAAATTTTTAAAATATTCATCAAACTCTAATACATAAAGAAGTAAATAGTATGTATAGAGACAGTAAACTATTTTATAATACCTGAAATAAGATATAATTTTGGAGCAATTGTAATAGCATTAATTGCTGCTCGTCCAAAATTTTCTACAGGATACCATTTTTTACCCCAACCATCTGTTCCAAGAAAAACCCAACGACCATTTAATTCATTTCGCGACGATGTTTGATTTAATATTTGTCTACAAATAAAAATCATTGATTTAAATAAATAATATATTTATTTATTGATTTACCTAACAGAATCTTCTTGTGCAAAAATAACAACACCAATAACAAAACGATATTTTTCATCTTCATATAATTCTTTTATAACACGCAAATATGAATTTGAATCTTTTATATTAACAGATAATTCACCGGCAATACAAATTGCTACAAAAACAATATTAAAAAGAAAAACAAGAATGTTTTTCTTTATTTTCTTTTAAGGTGGTTCAAAACATAAAGAAATACTTTTATTTTTTAGCTTTGCTTTAAAATCGTCTGTAAGACGTTCACCATAAGAGCCAGTTTCTTTAATAACAGCAACATACGTCCAATTGAGAAACTGAATAATACTAACTACCTGAAATACAAACAAAAGAGAAAAAAAAAAGACTATGTGTAGATAAAAATCAGGATTAATGTCAACTTACAGCTTCAGCTTGATATGTGTCGGGTGGAACAACACGAGAAAAAAATTGAAAACGTAGCTTTTCACTTAATTCTGTGCTTGTTGAAGCATAAGATATTTGTGGAATCTATTCAAAGAAATAAATCGATATATCAACTATGTCGAAATGATATTATCTAATTGATTTATATGCTCATCAAACAAGATACAAAAAAAAAAAAGTCTTTTTCAAATGTCACCGATTTATTATACAACTGGTATTCAAATCGGAAGTATCGTTTTCCTTTCTTCTGATTGTCGGAATGTTCTTCTACTAATATTTCAAAGTAAAAGTTTATGTAGATTTCTCTCTCAAGAGAATAAACAACTTTAATCTGATCAATACGGTATTTCGAAAATAGTAATATAATTGAAAATACTTTAATTTGAAAGAAAAAAAAAAAGTTTGGTTTGTTTTGTTTTCAATCGACTGTATTATTACCTCAGCTAAACGAAGAATATCCGACAGTGCCATTGAGACCATACTCGATGCACTACCAATAACACCAGCAATTACTGATGATTCTTTTCGTTTTTCTAATGATAAACATTGATCAATTGATGGTAAAAGCATATTTAAGGCACGTTCAACAGCATAAGGTTCATAATCGCATGAATCATATATAAGTGCACCGAAACGTATTTTACTGTGAGAAAGTATTGATGACATTAAATGAGATGATCGTGAATTTACAACATCTAATGCAAATAGCATGGCTTCAAGACGTTGAATACCACGTTCTCGTTTAATTGCTGTGCATTGCATACTTCCCAATTCATTTGACGGTGGTTGATGGATAGGAAAAAAGCCACCAAGTAAAATATCTCCTAAATTAGTTTTATTTTTATAGATTTAAATTACAAAAATTAGAAATTTCCTACCTGGAATATAAAGATATTCATAGGATGGACTTTGTGGTGCACGAAATTTCATCGGATAATAACAAGTACGTATTGAATTATTATTATCTTGATAACAATTACCATTATCAATTAGATATACAATCAATATAATGATGACAAACAATAATACTTTTTGTGACAATAAAACGATAAGCATTGACGAATGTAAATACGTGTTGTACGCATATATATGTACACATACGCTCTTTGCGTACTTTTTCTGTATTATCTCCAGAAACTGTTTTATTAATTGAAATGAATTCTCATAAAGTATTGAAGAAATAAGTCATTCGAGCATTCACGATGAGACGTATACTGATCGTCAAAAGAAAAGAAAGAATTGAGTAAACTTGTAGACGCAAGACAAGCTAACGGACGACAATGATGATAACGAGAGAAGACGATTGGCTTTCTCTCTCTCCCTCTCTCTCTTTCATCTTCTCTTCTTTCTCTTCTTCGCTCGTCGCTGTTGAGTTCTAACAATAATCACGCTCGCTTGGACGCTCACGTACGCACATAAAAGGAGAAAACGGAACAGAAGCAAAACAAGAAGAAAACGCATATGATACAGAAAAAAGAAAAGTGAAAAAAGTCCTAAAGAATAACAAGATCTCTTTACTTTGTCTGCAGATGTTTCTCTTCGTAAGCTCTTATTGATAAAAATGCCATATACTCAAATAGCTCATCCTTAATAATCATGCTCATTTTATCCTCATTGCTAAATCCGCCTTTTTCATATCATTGTGTAATTTTAGTGATCATAATGACGTACACATGCACGATAGGATCTACTTTATTATTAATTGAGAACATTGTCGTTATGAATAATAAATTAATTCAAATAACTTTGTAGTTTTTGTTTTTCAAATAATGAATAATGAATCATTATCAAAGAACGAAAAAAATAATCTCTTAATAATCCAATCTTATATTGACACAAGGGTTATTGTATAAAAACTAGAATATTACTTGCTTTTTTTTTCTTTCTATCTTTTAAAATCTCATTAATTATGGAAATTGAATATTAAATGAATGGATTCAAAGCAGTAATTAGTACTTAGAATTTCTACGATGTAGAATATAGATGTGTAATTTATGATCATCTGTTTATTATTAGAATCAAAAACAAAAAGCTAATGTTATTTTTTTGTTTTGTATTTGTATTTCAGATATTTTTTAGTAGTCTGTCATATATAAACGAAAGAATTAGATTGTATTATAAGAGTACTTATGTTACACCATGATATTCTATGTTAGTGATCAAATTTCATAATGTAGAATCTGGTAACAACAGCTTCGATATTATTTATTAGAAAATATGCCATTGATAAGGCAAGTAAATTAAGTTTTTGTTTTTGGCTTTTCTTTTCTCTATAGAAGGTATTTGTCTTACAAATATTGAATATCTATTTGATTAATGACGAAAGAAAAAAAAATTCTTTGAGATAATTTTAATTGCATTTTGTTGCTGAGAAATTATTGTGTATTGTTCGATATATTAATTAAATTTTCGTTTTATTTGTCTCATAAACAAATCGAATCTACTAAAACTAATAAAATCAGTTTATTTCCATAGTCGAAATAAATATCTTTTATTATATTTTTACGATAATGACTTCTTTGTTCAATAGTTTTTTGTTAGATTCAAATTATCTTAGACTAAATTCCTATCGGCTATCTATTAAATGATAGAACGATCTTAATTGACCATAAAATTTAATTAAATGAGAAAAAAGATTGAACCATAGAGACGATAGTCATGCGAAAAATATTCCAAAATCAAAATCAAAATCACAATTATTTTCAATTTTAAATAAGTTAGTCTAATTGTAAAACTGTTGTTTGTTTTGTTCTGACAAAAAAAAAGAATATTTGATTGAAATTTGACGAAATATTCTTTCTTTTGAAGATTTTAATTGATTATTTGATTGTTAATCTAATGTATATTTGAAAAATAAATTATAATTTAAAAATTTAATTAAAACTTCAATCTTATGAAATTAGACTGTGAAATTCTTAATTGATTATCTATACTCCAACAGATTATGATCTTGAAACAATATGTCAAGAAATGAAAGCATTATAGTTTGATTTTTATTATTCATATAAAAGCATTAGAAAATCGTTTAGTTATAGATGTTCATTCAAACATTATCATATTCGACTTTCAAGAACATATTATGGTATTACACCATACTAATAAGTGACTGTTACAAAGATATCTTTTCGTAGTAAAACAGCGTACATTGATCTTCAAATCGATTTAATGGATTTATTTTGGAACCAAAAGAGAATCTTCTCAATATAGTACTCATATATATAAGCTTATGCCGACCCGAAAAGAAACGAAGAGAAGGAAAAAAAAAGACAATAACTTGGATATACTCATTCGACTGGAAATCAAGCCGATATCAAATAAGACTGATAACATCATGTATCTTCTGTTTTTAGCTGCGCAATAAAGGAAAAAAACACTCATACGAAAGAATGTCAGAATTTTCAATAATTTGTCACAAACGAGGTAAAATAAAACCTTGGCATATACGAGACACTGAAAGGGATAATCCATCGACAAAGAAAGGAATAGAAAGACGTACACGCAAACACATATAGAGGTATGTCTACATATCAAAGAAGAAATAGCGCGACTGTAATACTTCGAAGTATACGTGAAGTATTGTACTTCATTGTCATGAAGCTACACTTTTATTCCGTTGATAGACATCTGTGTAAAAACCATGAATGCATCTAGTTAAAGTACTCTCTAAAAATAATTTACATTTATCCAGATTGGAAAAAATTCAATCGTAAATGTTCGCATTCAACAAAATACACGGTTGGACAAGTCAAGTTGTTTTTGCCAACTTTTCGTTTTCTATTCATTTTTATAATGAATGTTAGCAACAAGCTTTTCATGACACGATATCTTGTTTCCAGTTTTTATGTATAAACAACAAAGTACGAACAGTAAAAACAAATATCTATTTTTATAAACAAAAAACTATAACTTAAAGTGGTTTACAAGCATAAAAATATTTATTTACATTGAAATTAATGTCTTATTGAGTTCTGAAGATGTTAAAATGCAAATATTAACGTGTGAAAAAAATTGAATGAAACTATCTCATTAAAAGATCACATTGAAGAAATCATATAGTTCTTCTAGTAAGTTTACTCAGAGCTAAACTATCAATTTATGCTATTTCGAATAAATAATTCAAAATCAACAGAATCCAACTTCCGAGTTCGAACTATGATTCGAACTTGCCAATTCTTGAAGTGATACTAGATTATAATCATGACTTCACATAATTTCTTTTCCTTTTTGTCTGATAATCATACAAAAGTTTGGTTTTTCTATAAATCTGATTGTCCTCTTTATATACTTTTATTAGATTGTCTAATATAACTCTATCTTTGTTTTCATATACTCATTTTTTGTAAGAGACAAGGATATGTTTTACTGAAATCGAATTGATTATCATCCATATTTATTATTCAATTGACTACTATAAAATATCGGAAGTAGTTTTCCAAGTTGACAATTATTTATGAGGATATATGAATATTATCTTTGAAGTGTTTTTCTTTTTAAAAAATAAATCAATTTAAATAAACTTTAGGTAAAACTGAATCCAACAAAACTAGGTTTTGTTAAAATAAAGTTATGAAGCAACTCCTATCAAATAGAAATCGTGCCTTTCAATTTAAGAAAAATGCAAACTTTAAAAGTGGCCACCTTAGAATATTTCTTTCGGGATTATGCCTGAGTTTAAAAAAAAGTCCTACAGAAAATGCTAGTTTTTGACGTTTTTGTTTTTGGATCAAATATCTCTGTGAAGCTCGAAGAGATTTTTAAATCATATTACTGCTCTAAAATCGACTAATTGTTCTCTTTCTAAGGTTGATACTTCCAGGTTTGTAGTTTGTTTCTGAACCGAACAACAAAGTTGTCATTGGAACCGACTTTCGATTCCATAGTACTACTATTCCTGAAATTTTTGTTTTTGGCCAATGTGACGCCATTAAGAAAAGCAACCTCAAAGTTGTGAAAAAAATGCTTTGTTATACTTGTTGCGGATACCATAAGCAGTGATTGCTTTTCAGCGCAAAGATCGCTCTCATGAGAAATTTTTGTTTTTCCCGAAAAACGTATGTTAGGTCTCCATAGAAATATCCTATTGGTCATCTAGATCGCTTTTAAATATACATGTTATTTCTTAAACAAGAAATTATGTAAATAAAGGAAAAGGTTCTATGCATCAGAAAATTAATGTCAATAATTCTATGCTGGTCTCATTTTACAGCCTCTATTATGTCTTTTTTGTTCTTAATTGGTTTTTGTTCTGTTTTTTGAAGACTTCTACGTTATATGAGGTCGGATTAAAAAATAATGACTTTTTTATTTTATTTATCATGATCTCATAATTCTTTTTTCAATCATCCTGGTCGGGTGTATTAAAATGATATCGCTTTATCTTCTCTAGATAAAATTATTAAAAAGTGACATTATTGTAGTGCCTAGAAAAAATAGCATATCTTTTCCAGGAAAGTATGAAAAGTAGTGGTATATTTATAATCAGATTGGAAATTTTTCAACAATTTATTTTTTTTTTCACAACTTTGAGGTCGCTTTTCTCAGTGACATCGCATTGGCGAATAATGAAAATTTCAAAAATCGTAGTACTAAATGTAATGATGAGGCTTCACTATAAGACAGGTTTTGGGAGCCTCGTGACTATGCATGAGTGGGATACGAAGTTGTGAAAAAAGAAAATTAGGTCTTCAAGATGACCTTGTCATTTGGGTCAGGAACAACTTAGAGACCTGAGAGTTTCAAGTACAGATAGACGACAGTTTATCAGTTCTAGAGTACTAATAAAATTGAAAAATCTTCTTGAGTTTCATAGATATATTTGAGTCCAAAAAAACAGAATACGATAGTTAAAGATGTCCGCTACAAAAAAAATGATCATAATGTCAACAATTAGTGTCTGTCATAAAATTTTCAGATTTTTATTATTTGAAATAGAAATGCTACATAAGGTCCATTTTGGTTGGATAACCCAACCTGTCCCTCTTCGATTTTAGATCCTTTTTCAAAGATTTCAAATTCTTTTGAACCCATACCTGTGCTTATAGACATGAATCCTATAA